TTGGGAAATCCATGGGTACTAATTAAGAGTTTATGTAAAGGAGAGGACGGTGAAAGAGAGAGAACTAGAACAATGGGATTTCGAGAGTGTTGTGCTAAGTAAGTGACTATTGTGCCCAATTGACTTAATGTATTGTTATATAGACTTTTTCATGGGCCCGAGAGCCCACATATAGAAATGGGCATGAAAGCAAACTCGGTTAGTTTCTTTATGACTTAGGGACTTTTGTTGGTCCAAATGACTTAGGGTAACTTTAGCAAAGGGTTTGTTGGCACACCTCAAATGCATGCATATGGGAAATTCATTTTCTTACCATATGCAAATCTAGGAAATCCTATATGGTGATTTTATACATGGAAAACCCGAAAAAAGAAGAAGATGAGTTTTTGCACCTCTCTAAGGCTATGAGCTTTCATCCCCGAGCCAGGGGCCAGGTATGAATACCATCCCGATCCCCACTTTTTATATCCGTCCTGTCTTTACCACCATTCTTGCTAAGAATTATCAGGGAATCCTCATTCCGGTCCCAACCCCGCCTAGAATTCCAGAATTCTTTTATATAAAAAGAATCCTGCATTATAACATTTATCTTTCACCTTAAACAATCATTTTATTATTGGATGGCCAACCCAACTAAAGGTAACAGGAAAAGCTTGGGCGCGGACTTGAAATTAACTTAATTGTGAAGTAAATTATCCTTCAACAAAATGGTAATGTTGTTTCTTTTTCCTTGACAACGCACATTCTCACCAACCATATAGTAATAGTACATTAAATTTGAGGTCAGATATGAAAATTATTGCAACATCCATAAGATTATCTGTTTTCTAGGTTACATATATATATATATGTAACCCTATATTATATATACCTGAAGACTTCTGGCTCCCACTTAAACATAGATGAAACTCATTAATTTCTTCATTTTGTGTATTAATAAGTTCATAATAAGAACACCAACATTCTAATATCTAGTGGGCTCCATTGGGCTCAATAACAAAATGGGCTGGGCTCCATTGGGCCTACCCAGCCCACAATCTTAACTTTCAATTTATGAAAATGGCACAAATTAACCTCTCTCCACGTAGCTAATACAAAGTGGGTTGGCAATTTGGCACAAGATTAACCCTAGGTTATGGAAATGGTACAAATATTTCATGCTTTCTATTGAAGGAAGGAGTAGACAAGAATGTACATACATTGTATCTGCCGTCGTTTCTTTTTAGAAATGCGTTTAATTTTTGCACCTCTCTAAGACTATGAGCTTTCTTATGCCATGCAAACAAACTCCATTAAATAATAAGTAGCCGGTTTTCAGTTTTTTTTTAACACTTACTCCTCCTCCTAATAAACCCAAAATGGACAGATTCCTTCTTATCACAAAAATAATGACCTCGGTCACATCTGACTTGGCCACTCGTGGCAAAAACACATTAAAAATTTTAAACCAAAAAGGAAAACGTTACGGGCACCAACTTCTTCATTCCTGGCTCTATATATAACCCAATTCATTTACCTTATTTGCCTCACAACCCCTCTCCTCTCCTCATATATTGAACTCATTTGTCTTTCAATATACCCAAAAAAATTATTAATCTCTCTCTCTCTCTCAGCAGCCTTTCCCAAATTTGTTCAATCAATCAACCCAATGGCTTCCTCATTGTTTCGTTTTGGCCTTCACGATGAGACCATAGAAGCTACTCGACTTCGTTTGAGAAGTCACCCCAATTATTCTGCTTTGAACAACTGTTTGAGTGAGAGCTGTGGTTTGATAAGCTCATTTTGCCCTCATTCTCACCCATCTCATCCTCATCATCAGCCTCAGCCTCAGCTCCTGGGTAACAACATTGTTAACCCTAACATGAGGCTCATTTCTTATCAAAACCAACAACCTCTCATTTCCCACCATATGCCTAGAAGTAGGGTCCACATACACACATTCATAGATATTAACGAACCAGCAGCAGCTCAAGGCCTAGGAGGCAGCCCTCATCTTCTTCTTTCTCAGCCGAGCAGAAACAGCCCTCATCTTCTTCTTGCTCAGCCGAGCAGCAGCAGCTCTCTGAGAGCCCGTCAGGAGGTTCTGAGAAGTCAACTTCTCAGTGCAACCTCAAACGCTGAGCGCTTTCTTGGCCAGTCCATTTTCCCAAACCCTACTTCTTCTTCTTCTTCTTCAGTCCTCCTAAACACCAACCCAGTGAACCGTCACCATCCAATTCATTTCGGTACTAATAACACTGCTGGTTCTACTAGTAGAGTTAACAAGAGAGCCGAAGCCTCAAGCAGTCATGCCCCTTTTAATTTTCAAAGACCAAAATATTTTAACAACTATGGTCATATATTTCCTTATCGTTCTCAAAACTCCCAGCCGCCAACAGTAATTTCTATTGAGAGTGATGATGATGTTTCTTCTTCTGATGATGAACCTATTGTGGCTGAGCCAATCAGTGTTTATATCCCAACACCTCAACCCAAACCAAGTGTGTATCAAAGCAAAGAGCCAACACCTGAAGCGCCAACAAACTTTCGAAATCTTAACTCTCCAAATTCTGATGATGCTCGTCGGGATCAGTCCAATGGCGAGAGAGAGCTGCCACCATCCGCTGGCGACGGTGACGTTGGTGATTTATTAGTTGTTCCTGATGAGCATGTTGATCAGGTTGCTGTTTGTGATCTGGGAGACGGGAAAACACGCAGCCTAAAACACGACAAGAACGGGCCGTACACCTGCTCCAAATGCAGGCGGGTCTTCGAGACGTCGCAGTTCTTTGCCTCTCACTCAAGGTCCGTTCACCCCAGGAGCCCTGAAGAGATAGCAAGAGGAGAAGCACTGAAAGCGGACAGAAAAAACAAGAAGAGGGTTCCCAGGAAAGAGAAAAAGCAAGAACCAAAGAGGAAGAAAGTGAATAAGAAGAGTGCTTCCATGAAAGAGAGAGATCCAGAACCAAAGCAGAAGAGACCTAGAGTGAGTAAGAAGAGTGTGACCATGAAAGAGAAGGATCAAGAGCAGGTTGTTGCAGCTTCTGGATTTGCAGGATATGGATCTGGTGGAGCAGACAGCACAGTCACTATCGTGTTGCCTCATAGTGAGAGCTATTCCCATGAAACAATAAGAGCAAAGAAGAGGAAAGCCCGTAGTATGAATGTTCCTGCTGCAGTTGCACCAGACTCTGGAGGAGCAGGTGATGGTCAGGTGGGTGTCAAGATTGGAAAGAAGAAGGATAGCGCGAAGGCTGGACCTTCTGGATATGGTGGAATTGACTTTGAGGGCCTATATGAGGTTGAGGTGCAGATGGAACAGAAATAAAGAACTCAGGTGCTCAACAATTGAAAGTGGTTTTAGTCTATCTATGTTTGAATATGAATTGGACCTATTATAATTAGTTTGTGTCGGAAGTTTAATAGGACAATGTGGTTTTTATTTGAGAATCTGTGTTTGGGTCTATGAATGTTCTTGGGTGTTTCCTATATGTGTTTGGGTTTAGTAGAACAATGTTGTTTTTAGTTTGTAATGTGTTTTTTGTCTATGTATGCTCTTGGGGGTGTTTGCTATAATGTGTTTTAAAATTTAGTTATATTTAAATTGGCGCACTTTATTGACCGTTATATTGAAATTTAGGTCTAATTTAAATTTGCGGCAACACTGAACGTTATGTTACGTAGAAACTTGTTATAATAAATTTGGCGGCAACACAGACCGTTATATAAAAAGTTGGTTAAAATTACAACTTAGTTGAAATTATTTGGCGGCAACACGGGCCGTTATATAAAAGTTAGTTGTAATGCCGTTATATAAAAGTTAGTTAAAATTATAACTTAGTTGTAATTACTTTGGCAGCAACGCGGACCGTTACATACAAGTTTAGTTAAAATTACATTTTCGCCAACTCATACCGGTATTAATCATCCAACGTACCATTATTAATTATCCAACTACTATTAACAATTGTGTATCTTTTTTGGTAATGACCAAATCCTATCATTAAAATCAAACCAAGCTAGAAAGTTCTAGCACATCATCCAAAACCAATAAAAACATCCACACTACTAGACCATCCTCAATCCAAAGAGTTGCAATGCAAGGGTTAGACCATTGCTAAGTAGGGTAGGCTCTAGTACAAGTTTTTGGGAAAAATAGAAATTTGGTGCTATTGTTAAAAAAGTCTACCCAACTTGGTGGTAAAAATTGGTTCACTCCTTTCCTTTCCCACAAATTTGAAGACAAATCCACTCAGTCACCTAAGCATAATAGACGGATAGAAAAATTTCAACCTACCATTGTAAAAAAATTTATAGTTCCGTCCGTCTTTGCATGAAATTGTAAGATAAAGCATGTGTCACAAAATTATAGGAAAAAGATAAAAAAAAGTTATATACAAATATTTTTGCTACAAGCAATACATAGCTCACTATGTAATTCACCTTAGTACTCTTGAAATTCCTGACTAAATAAGACTTAGGAAAACAGCAGAAATGCTCTAAGGTTTTCTTGCTTATTCATTCTTCTATATATACTGAAACCCCCTTTTTTTTTTTTTTTTTTTTTTGGTGTGTGAAGCTGTAATATAGAACGCCTGCAAAATTGTAATTATTACAGAGGAACAATCCTAGCATGTCTTTCATACTAGATTAAAGGTTTTCTCCAGAAATAATGGCATGTAGCAGTTTTGCACTCCATGTTACTTCAGCAAGGTTTTCTAGAGGAACTGCAATATCTTCTGTGCTTTCCCTTAAAAGCACCCTGCATTCTGGAATCCATGCACTAATTAAACCACAGAATCATCAATACTCAATCGTCTCCATCGAGTGATGCATCGACAGATTCTAATCTTCAAAACTCAGAAACAAGAAATAAACCAGACACGTGTATATATACACCAGTGACACCACAGTGTTTGTTGATTTTTATGTAAAATTTGCGGAAAATAAGTTTATGTAGAAGTGACTAACCAGATATTTTGCTGAAGTTGAGCATAGACACCGAAGCAAGGATCTTCTGCTCAACCTGCTCGCCATTCTTCAGCCTCTCTTTTAGTGGAAAAATGAGAGATGAGAAGGCTGTGAGCTGAAACTCAGAACCAGATAGTGAAGAAAGTGCACGGGTCAACCATTCCGCAGTGATTAGGCACACCCTCATCAAATCCAAGTTTTCAGATCCTAAACACTTTGAAAGGGTTTCTAAAAAAGACTTTTTCCCATTACCAAGCAGTGTAACTGTCAAGTTCCTCAACCAATCTTCAATGGAATTGTCTTCATCATCCTATAATTTGAAGAATTAGAACATCAGATCATTATCTTTAAACATATCACTAAAGTGATTGATTTAGAATTTTAAGTTTCTTTCAGTTTAAGAAAGCGGGAAAACAGAATATGATATTGAAAATCTGGAGAAGCTATAACTAGTGACCATGGTATGAAACTATGAATATAGATGAGAAATTCTCTGGAATAAGAATACGGGGATCGAATGTATGTACCGATGGAGATGTGCCATGAGCCAGTGAACCATCTTCGTTGTCAATTGAATTCACTTCACAACTGCCACTAAAATCTGCTGGCTTTAAGATCCAACTTCGCGACAACGATTTCCCTGAGAAAGAGAAGTACCTTCTCAAGATAAGAAGTGCTTTGCAACAATTCTCTCGGACATTTGCATCAGTTAAGCTGCAATCAAGAGCCTCTGTAATTGCATCAACAGCTTCCTCTCTATGCATGCCATACTTCTGAGGTTCTACTTCTACCTGTAACAGATGGTTGTCTTAGTTAACAACATTTGATCATGCAGAATAGGAATAGAGACAGTAGCTTCTAATAAACAGAAATGGGAGTTCAAAGTATCACTGGATCATCAAATGTTGAAAGTAACCATCAAACATAGGGCAACCTCTGCGGTCTGTTTGCCTTCTTTCTATGAGCACCCACAGAGGATTAGCCTGTTTTAGGATCCCTATGCTATGGCTACTTCTTCAGAACAAGATACTTATATACCTATAATCATATCAGTAGCTTAGTATCTAAGTCACTTTTCTTTCATACCACCAGCAACCTAAACAGTTCAGATAAATGAGAGGACGTTTATCATCCTCCCCTACCCCTCCCCTACCCCTTTCTGAGTCATCTAGCTGCGTTTCGTTAACGAGGGCTGCCCTCAGCTCTGATTCACCTCCCATGAGACTTTTCATCTCTCAACCAAGCAGCCATCAATTCCCTTCAAGTCTGAGCTCGTAAGATGAGCGGCAATAGCTAAAGTCCTATAATTACTGCAGGTATATGCACCTTATAGCTCACATTGTCGAAAAAAAAAATTTGATTGTCATATATTTTACTTTCACACAACATAATGCCTTCCACAGTGACTACTTCAGAGTTTAAGGGGTCACCACTAATGCAAGAAGGGGTCAAGCAAAGTGGCATGGCATCAAGAATAAATGGAGACAATTAGGATGGAACTTTTAGAAAATTCCTGTGAACTACTTAAGGAGTGTACCAGAAGATCTACGTGTAACAAAAGTACTGCAACCAAGGGTCTGTGATTGGCTGGAGAACTCTGGAGACACACAAGCAAAACATCCATTGTATTCACAATCCCTTCATTCTGCAAGCCACTGAGAAATGTTGTGACATCTTTCTTCCTGCAATGACAAAGAAAAGAAAAATCAATGATGAAAGGTACTAGCAGACACCATATAACCACGAACAATTACAGTCATGCAATCCCTCATCTTTCAATAGGCATTTATTAATTGTTTCAAGCCTTCAACAACCAATCCAAGTTCATCGGAAATTTCCATATAAAATTTCTTTTATATGTTGTCTCATCACGATTATACAGTCTGTTTATGCACATATCCAAAACTAAAAGATGGCAAGGTTCTCATATAGTGGATTCTGAATTGCTCACACACATGCACAATGAAGATAAAAAGAATATATGAAGGGGACTGCTGACAGACTCATTTTGTCAATTTTAATGTGCTAACTTCAAAAAAATATCTATATATTGAGAAGCAACCAGAGCAGCTCATTTGACAAGTATTACCAGCAAGCCAATGTTACTCACCTCTTCAGGCAAATCAGTTCTGTCAACAACAACACTGCATTTGTTCTTATCTTAATCTGCTTGCTCTGAAGTAGTTCCATAACATACTGTTTGTTAATGTCTCTTGCTATTATATTCCTACAATCTGCATCTGCTTCTATACAACAGGACAACAGCGCTGCAGCACGAGATTTCTCTTTCACCTTTCCTAATTCAAACCATTGAAGAAGAAACTGCAAGCCTCCAAGAGACATAAGGTGCTTGGCATTTTCTGTCCTTTCCTCTTTGCTGAAACAAGTGAGAAGCTGCTCTAGCATGAAGATAGCTCTCTCCTCATAGTGTTTGGATCCATCTCTCCCTGAGGTTCCCACTACTTGAGAGGCAAAAGCCAAGAGTTTCCTACAATGTTCAGATTTCCAACTATGAATCACACGCTTTAAGATGAAGTTGTGAAGAGGCACTGCTAGACATTCCAATGATTTTCCTGTCACAGGACATGTACTGTTTCCTTTATCAAACCATGCCTTGATGGCTAACCGCTCAAAGGTTTGACCAGTCTCTAGAGTCACTGGATCTTCAAACAACCTTCCAGTTAGAGGGCAAATGAAGTCCTGGGGAATGCTCCAGAAAATGATTCCTTCTTCAAAGTAATTTCCATGTAACTCTGTGTCAAGGGAATGTAAACATGAGAAACAAATCGAGATGTGCACTAAAGGGTATAATATCTTAGATATTCCTTTTGACTCACCTTCGAAAGAAGACCTTTCTTTGATTGGCTGCACTTAAAGAGAAAAATTATAAATACCATAAACTAGAAAATGACATTGTACATAGTTAAAGAGTTTAGAAAGAATTCAGTACATTTACAATAGAGCTGGCAATTGATGCTTCACTGCAATTTGAAACAGTAGAAGCCTCCGCTCGTTGCTGTTCATAATTGGATTTTTCACGGGTTTTGAGGGTAAGCTTATTCTCTTTTGCACATGCTGATGCATGCAGCATCTGGGTGCTTTCTGTATTTTCTCCACATATGTTATCAAAGTGATGATTTAGGTCACTTTCTGGTAGATCACTCACTCCAAGATAACCCCACTTTTGTTCTTCTGTCATTAGGAGTCCATTTTCCTACAGAAATGTTTTAGAGCATGAAATTGGATTTAGTAAAATATTTCAGATTTTTTTAACACTCTTCAGGGTGTGATATAGTTTTTATTTAGAATCAATTCCAAATAAACATTAATTGGATAAAGCTTCTTATGTTCAAGAGAAAATGAAAGGCAACAATGCTGCTAATTACCATAGAAGTTATTCATAAGACAATCCCAGCATAGAATGGGTAAACATCTATAAACCCTAGAAATTTTTAGATGTGCTTGGATAAAGAATTAATTCACACACAAAAAAAAGTTACTTACGGAAAGAAATCCATCTTCTGGTGCACTCTTAGTGGATTCTTCTTCAACATCTTGGTACCTATATTGAACTGTTTCATAAGAGTGCTGACTTGTTTGTTTAGCATCAGATGAACCATCAGAACTTCTCATACAACTATCAAAGTTTTCTATATCTCCATCATCTTCAACCTCATCAGATTCAGGTTTACTTGAACGACCAAAAACAGAATCGTACAGTCTTTTGCTGACCATTGACTGGGGACCACCTGGACTAGGGGCCTCT